AAAAATATTTATCTATTATTGAGTGTACAATGTTCTCATTTCACAGATAAAAAAATTATTATATTACTTGTGGAAATTTTCTAAAATGGTACTAAATAACTTAGCAATAAATTGACAATATGTAATATAAATATCCAGAAGAACACTGTTGGACTTACTTGTACTTCAGGAAAAAATTCGGCGCTTCAAATAATTTGTCCCATGAAGCCTTTCCGTTGAAAATTTCATCAGTAATCGCTAAGCCATTATTAAAAGATTCCTGGAGAATAATTCTTGTAGATGCAGAAATATTGAATGTTGAATTCTGCTGAGGGTATACAGGAGTGATAATAGGCATGAGATGGTACCTATCAGATACTGTAACCTACAATAAATATGGCAGCTTAGTAAAATATAATACGATCTCCAGATGTAAACAGATAGGATCCTAAAGCATTATAGATAGATACAAAAAATTGAATTTTATTAAAACTTATAAATAAAATGGAAGACCCTATGGAAGACCACCAAACATATCCTAAAACCCCATCACATATCACATCCTCTCCGTCGAGGTGATGGCTCTTGGGCAGCATCTGACGAAGATAGAGCCGAAGAATTCGCCAAAAACCTTTCCCTTACATTCACCTCTCATCCAGAATCCAATCCCACCCACACGTCAGCAGTAGAGGAATTCCTTAATTCACCCATCCCACTCTCCTTACCGCCTAAAGCAGTTAATCCTTCTGAGGTCAAATTCCTTTTACAAAAACTACCTACCCGTAAATCACCTGGATACGACTTGCTTACCTCTCAGATCCTTAGACAACTCCCTCCTAAAGCTGTCATATTCCTTACATACATATACAATAGCATCCTACGAACCACCCACTTTCCTCTTTTGTGGAAACATTCCACTATTATCCTGTTTCCGAAACCAGGCAAACCTCTCAACACCTCAACGTCCTACAGACCAATTAGCCTTCTTCCTATTCTCTCAAAAATCTTTGAAAAGATCCTCCTAAAACGCATCCTACTCTTTATAGAATCCCAAACTCTTCCTTCCCATCAGTTCGGATTTCGTTCACAACACTCTACAGTCCAACAAGGACTCCGAGTGGTTGATCATATTTCCGCAGCATTGGAAAGCAAGCAATATTGCTCGGGTGCATTTCTGGACATAGCTCAAGCTTTCGACCGGGTATGGCACGCCGGGCTTCTTTCCAAGCTGAAAAACTATCTTCCTCAGTCCTTGTACCTTGTTCTCCGTTCCTACCTCTCAGATCGTAACTTCCGAGTTCCTTTCGGTACTGAATTTTCGCATTGCTATCCAATTGAGGCAGGTGTTCCTCAAGGTAGCGTATTGGGTCCCGTCCTTTACATCCTCTTTACCGCCGATATCCCTGTCCATCCCGATACCTTCCTGGCAACTTTTGCTGATGACACCGCTATTCTATCATCCGACTCAGATCCCAACATAGCATCCTTAAATCTCCAAAACCACCTCACCTTGATTGAGCACTGGTGTAATAACTGGCGCATTAAAGTTAATGAATCTAAATGCCAACACATTACCTTTACACTCCGACGCAGTTCCTGTCCACCAGTACACTTTAATTCCATCCAGCTTCCTTACTCAGACACAGTCCGGTATCTTGGCTTTCATTTAGACCGAAGACTGACGTGGAACCCACATACTAGACTCAAAAGACAAGAACTCAACCGACGATACGGCCAGCTATACAGACTACTAAACAGAAAATCCAAACTTTCTATTGAAAACAAATTACTTATCTACAAGACAATACTGAAACCTATATGGACATACGGACTTGAACTGTGGGGTACAGCAAAAGCTTCTAACATCAAACGTATTCAATCCTTTCAATCTAAAGTCCTTCGAACAATAGTTGATGCTCCGTTCTATGTAAATAACAAAATCCTACACCATGACCTTAATATCCCATTTGTCCTAGACCTTATTCCAGAAAAATTCTCCAAATTTCACCAGAACCTTACCTATCATCCAAATCCCCTTGCACAATCTCTATCCAGCACCACCCATCCTTACAATCCTCCTCGAAGGTTGAAGCGGCAGTGGCCCAGAGACCTTTTGTAAATAAGCATCTATTGGAGTTTTGGCAATGGCCAGATCCTCCACTCAAGCCCGAGTGTGTATGATTAGGTTAGTTCTTTTGTTTATATACATTTATTTTATTTTATTGTATTTATTTTTATTTTATTTATTGTATTTATTATTATTAAGTTTCTGTATTATTTTATTTTTTTTTTTATTGTAAATAGAGTGTGAGTGTGCTTTCTCTGAACACTATTATAAATGTCCTTGATGTGACAGAATGTAATATTTCTAAATAAACAAATAAACAAAAAAAAAAAATGCCTGGTAATACATAAATAAAATAACTGTTTATTAATTTAGACAACAAAAAAATATAGACTTTTTAGCAAAATCTACAGAACTTTTAAATAAACTTTTTAAAAAGTAAAAGTTCTTTACTGGAAAAGTTGCAAGAGAAAAAGTTTTAATTCCAAAAGAACTGAAAACTATCGAAAATAGAAGTTTTAATTCCAAAAGAACTGAAAACTATCAAAAATAGAAGTTCCAGTGATACTAAAACTTTTTATAAATAATAGTTTTTTTCCTGTTTCAAGCCCTGAGCAAAATTATTGAAGAAAATTGGAATTGATTGAAAACATCTTTTTAATTTGTTTATTTCGGTGAGACTGGACCAACCCCCATTTTACAAATTATACAACTGTTCATTTAATTGCACTGTTCGTTTCTCAAATTTTATAACTTTAATTTACATGTATTCTGTAGTTCAGTGTTATTTTTTATCAACATAATATAAACTAAACGAAACCACAGTTCAGACAAATTTTTAATTATTTTAAAAATCTATATTATACACCTTATTGAACCTGAAATTGGAGCCTCAACATGAGCCTTGGGTAACCAAAAATGGAAAAAAGGTATAGGTATTTTAAATAAAAATGCCATAATTATAGAAATATATAAATAAAAATTTAAATCCTCAAAATTAATAATTCAAAAATCCAAAGAATTAATTATAAAATCAATATAAAAAATCCCTAATAATAAAGGTAAAGAAGCAAATAATGTATAAAACAATAAATAATAACCCGCTGAAATTCGCTCAGGCTGATATCCCCACCCAAAAATTAAAAAAAGGGTGGGGATTAATGAGCTCTCAAAAGAAACCGCGCCTTTTTGCCAATTTATATTATTATAATTATTCTTATTGCCAGTTTGTACCCATAATATATATATATTTAACTTTTCCAGCTTCATATAAGCCCAATGATTTGAGTCTCTTATTTCTAATATTTTATTTTCGTTATATTGGGATTCCTTTTCTAGTTCATAATAATTATAATTATAATACAATAAATATAATAATTAATATATTGTATTCAAGGAGGAATGTCTAGATCGAAAAATAACTGCTGTGATCTAAGTAAAATCAAACTAATACTAGCCTTTGTCACCCCTGATACTACCTACAAATATAAATAACACCATCTTTATATTGTTTACACAGCGGAGATTAACGCCATAGCAATGAGTTTCCGATACGTCATGAAGATGCTAGTTGCAAATGTGGTTGTGGTATCGGATTCCCTAAGTACTCTGATAGTCATGAATAACATGATTCCAGACCATCCAGGGATACGCTGCTTTTTAAATCTTATAAAAATACTTCATGGAGTTGGAACAACGGCACGTCTTATTTGGTCGCCTGGCCATGTAGGCATTGAAGAAAATGAAATGGCTGATAGAGCAGCAAAGAAGCTCTTGCTCTTCCAGGCCGCGGAAAAGCTTTTTTGACACCATCTGAACTTGCACGACCTCTAAGAGAAACCATGTCCCAAGAATGGCAAAGACGGTGGGACAACAGCAAATTAATGACATTAAAGAAAGAAGTGCAAGTGTGGAACAGCTTCAGACGCAGCAGTCGTAGAGAAGAGGTCGTCCTCAAGCAGCTGAGGATCGAACATACCAGACTGACACACCTCCACTTCAAAACAAAAGATCTTATCCCTATATGTCAAAAGTGTGAACAGCCATTAACTACAAAACATGTTTTGGAAGAGTGCCCTTTTTACACCTCAACGTTAAAAGATCTCGGATATTCCAGAATATATCAGCATCCCGGGGAAATCAAGAAGAAATCGTTACCAAAGTTATCAAGTTCCTAGATAATGAAAGACTTAAACAGCATATATGACAAGTTTATAACTAATGATCCTTAGCAGATTTATTATTTTTTTTTTTATTTTAAAAGTTCATTTGTTTATTAATTTCAATTCATTTATTGATTTCATTGCTATTTTTTTAAAGTTTATTTATTTATCTATTCTATCTTATTATCTAGAAGTGTCTATTGTTTTTTTATTTTATTATATCAATCCTTTCATTTATTTGTTTTCTTTTTTTTATTCTTATCTTTTGTACCAACCATTCAAAAAGTATGAAAGTAGTGTTATTTAGTTGATCGGGCGTTGATGGCCTGGATTTTTTGCCCCTAGACATCGAAACAAACGAAACGAATACCAGATGAATACCATTTACCGTACAAAGTTTCAGTTTAAAATCTGTATTTTATATTAGGAGAGTAGTAGGTAACAGGAGCTTAACACATATTTAATTATATGAACAGCTGTATAATTTCCAAGTTGAGCCCAAGTTGCCTCGTACTCTAATACTAAAATAAAATAAAATATTAAAGTCACTAAAAACTCTTATTTATTAGAGAGATTTATACATGTAATTTTTTGAAACCTAAAATGAGAGCATTTATACACGCGGTCGATCATATTACAACCGCAAAGGCTATAATAACTGCATCTGCGTACTGTTCAGTTCCAACCTTACATCACACACATTCCATACGGTCGAACGAACCCGCGCCATCGGAATGACGGAGCACCATCCCCCGGTTAGTGGAAGTGATCGATGCAGCGGGACCGAGAGCTAAATGAACCGCCAACATGACTACCGGAGCGATCAGTCATAACTGATAAATTATTTAACCTCAGTTGCCCCTAACAGCATTCGAGGGGAGGAGGAAGGGGGGAGGTTTGACCTCACTGAGTTACTTGCTAACTCTAAGCTGATACCGCGCTTTGTAGTACAAAGCTAACTTGTCTCCATTGAAACTTCTGTCTAAGTAGATATTCCAGGTATATAATAATAAGATACCGATTTCTAATATATTAAAAAAAAAAAGAAAATCATTGTAGCTCCTGGTTTTTACTTACAGTCCGTGGTTCAGACCCCTTTTTATCTAATTAAACATGTACCTGAATCTTCGTGAATAGCTTCATCCCTCCGTAACCTACAACTATGTTTTTTTTTTAATAATAGGTAAATGGTTGACTGTCGTGGATAATGAAGAGAAGAATAGTTGGGGTGGTAAATCAAAAAAGAAGCCAAAAACAAATAATATTTATTTTTACATATGCCGACGTTTCGACCTGAAGTTCAGGCCTTCATCAGGGCTAAGAAAATAGCCAGCTAACAAAGTATGAGAAACATAAGTAGTGATAGTAAAAAAAATAAATAAATAAATAAAAAATTCCAAAAAAAAAATAAATAAATAAAATAAAAAATAAAAATAAAAATAAATATAAAGTAAAATGAAATTGTTAGAATAATGTCTAAGAACTAAGAAATAAATAATAATAACCGTTACAGAGTGTGGAATGATGAAGTAGGCATAATCAAAAAGGGTGACATAAGTGTTACAATGGGAATCTTCGAATAAAATGTAAAACATAAAAAATATATATATATATATATATATTTATATATATATATATATATATATATATATATATATATATATATATATATATATATATATATATATATATATATATATATATATATATATATGAAGTTATATAAGAAATGAAAATAAATAGTAAAATAAAGACATTGAGAATGGAGTCTCTTCTCTCTCCCCCTCCCTTGCAACGACTTTTATTCTCCCTGCAACACTTAAGGAGACAGGTAGTACTTCTTTTATTTCTTTCTTATTTCAGCTTTCTCAATTTCTTCCCTCCTTCTTTTCATTCCTTTTCTCTGTTTTTAACTCTTTATTACATTATACATTGTCTGTACATCTTTATAGACTTTACAATATCTCAATTTTCTATCTAACTACTCCATTCTCAATGTCTTAATTTTACTATTTATTTTCATTTCTTATATAACTTCATATTTCTTTTTTTTTTTTTTTTTTATGTTTTACATTTTATTCTAAGATTCCCATTGTAACACTTATGTCACCCTTTTTGATTATGAATACTTCATCATTCCACACTTTGCAACCGTTATTATTATTTATCTCTTAGTTCTTAGACATTATTCGAACAATTTCATTTTACTTTATATTTATTTATTTTATTTTTATTTTTTTTTCTTTGTAATTTTTTCTTTACTTATTTATTTTTTTTTGTTTTTACCATCACTACTTATGTGTCCCATACCTTGTTATCTGGTTATTTTCTTAGCCCTGATGAAGGCCTGAACTTCAGGTCGAAACGTCGGCATATGTAAAAATAAATATTATTTATTTTTGCCTTCTTTTTTTGACTGACCATCCCAACTATTCTACTCTTCATTATATTTTTTTTTTTAAATGAAATTTACAACTTTATTACATGTAAAATACAACAAGTAAATGTAACATTGGTAACATGACATGTACAACATCAAGAGAAACTACCCATTGGTAGAACTCAAATTAAAGTTTTATATTAGAAGGTCCCGAGACCACCTTCTTTTCAGACGCCTCGGAGGGTTATGGGGGATCGAAAAGGAAGCAAGGTTTGAAACCAGAGGGTTCGGATGGTTCTGCAGTTTATTAAGAAAGGATAGGTCTCTGGATTGAGCCAGATCTGAAATATAAGAAACATTAATGTCATTATGGATGGTTTTATTTGTAACAAAGTAAGCAGCATTGAGAATTTTTCGAAGAATTTTGTATTGTAAGGATTAAATACGTGAGGAATTCAATGGTTTAATGGAGCCCCAAAGCTCAATTCCGTAAGTCCAAATAGGCCTTATTATATTCATGTATATGAGTCGTTTGTAATTAATTGGAAGTTTAGAGCGTTTGTCCAGTAAGTGCTGAAGTAATCGGAAACGTCGAGCGGTTTCTAGTCATTTCAGTCTAGTAGATTCCGAGTTAGTCGTTTGTCCAGGTGGAGTCCTAGGTATTCGATTTGCTCAACAAGGATAAGTGGAGTATTGTTAAAGGAAACTGTAGGACAGGAAGTCATTGGTTTACGAAATATATATAAAAAAAAAAATGATGGTAGCTCCTGGTTTTTACTTACATTCCGTGGTGCAGACCCCTTTTTATCAAATTATTATTAACATCTCTACCTGAATTTTCGTCAATAGCTTCATACCACCGTAACCTACAAGTATGTTATTTACGGTAACTCTTGGAATTGGGGCGTTTTCAATCTGGAGGGGGACAAACTTTGTTTATTTAATTAGGTACTAAAAATTAGTAAATACATATTTGTTTTCTACTTGGATCGTCAGATAATTTGATCACAAAATAGATAAGAAAGGTGGCCTACATAAATATTTTTGGATTACCTACGGGAGGAAATGTATCGATTTGTTTATCAAGCCTGGTGCTAAATAGAATAAAAAAAGTATAGAAATAAAAAAATGTATTAAATTATCTGAGGATTTTTATCCAAAACGTTTATTTCAAAAGTTGAGACTTATTAAATTTTAAGGGAACTAAATATACAAAAATTGATAATAAAAGAAATAAAGCTTTTATTCCGTGGTACTGACCCTTGTTATCAAATTATTAACATCTTTCTGAATCTTCGTGAATAGCTTCATCCCACCGTAACCTACAACTATGTTATGTAAGAAAACGCTTGGAATTGGGGCGTTTTCAATCTGTAGGTTGGCAAACTCTGTCTATTTAATTAGGTACTAAAAACTGGTAGATACACATTTGTTTTCTACTTGGATCGTCCGATAATTTGATCACAATCATAATTGATTTAATTTGAACATAATTGGGCATAAAAATTAAAGTTATTGAAGTTAAAGTAATTAAGTTCTCTATAGAAATAGACAATTTGTATTAAATCATCTGAGGATTTTTATCCAAAATGTTTATTACAAAAGTTGAGATTTAAATTTTAAGGGAACTAAAAATATAAATATTGATTATAAAAGAAATAAAGTCCGTGGTACAGAGCCCTTTTTATCGAATTATTAACTACTACTATATTATTTACGAAAGCTCTTGGAATTGGGCGTTTTCAATCTGTGGGTCTGCAAACTCTATATTATTTAATTAGTTACTAAAAACTCATAAATATCCATATGCTTTCCACTTGGATTATAAGATAATTTTATCGCAAAATCGAGAGAAAAAATATTGGGCCGTTTAGCCTATAAAACCTCGTTATTTGGACACTTAAGAGGTGACGGTCCGCCTTTTTTCTCGTGTTTTTGTTAAAATTATTTTGCGACTCAAGCGAAAATCAAATAGGTATTTACGAGTTTTAAGTACCTAATTAAATAAACAAAGTCTGACAACCAGCAGATTGAAAACGCTCCAATTCAGAAGTTTTTCCTAAATATAATATTTGTAGGTTACGATGGGATGAAAAGGTACTGTACGGTGCTGACATATCCGTTTCATTATTTCTGTCAGACCATCTGCTGATTGTCAACAGATGTTGAAAGGTGAAGTTAAAAAAAAAAGTAGTTTTGTACTAAAATATATAAAAATAAATATTTGAAGTAGTATTTATGGGTTTAAAAATCATAATATAATAACCATAGTGTAAAGACATTAACAGCGATAATGATTAAAATAATAAAATATTAACTGGCTATATTGCACACAGAAAATTAATTATTTTTTAAGGGTTGTAATTTAAAGTCGAACTAGACTTCTTTCTCTTTTATTTTATTTTTTTTATTATTATATATTGTGAAGAGATCTAGAATTGTTGAAAGGCTCTTGAAGCCGACGATATTATTATTTTTATGAATACGTATTGTTATATAAAATGCCTCTCAACTGAAGGAGGTGCTTGAATCTCTGAAGTTAAATAAATAAAATTTATAATTCTACTTCTGGTAAGTTTTTTTAAACAATACCATACTTGTTTTATTTCAATAAAACTATATATAGAGAGATTTATTTACCTTTATTTTCAATATAAATTCAAATTTCATATTTCATAATATGAATACATGATATTCGATTCTAACAAATATTTAACATTTACCAACTCAGATAAATAAAAAGCATTATTTATTTATTTTATCCTATGTTACACGTTTTTAGAATAAACTTAATTAGAATTGCTATGAGAAAAAATAAATGAGATCGTACCCTATAGGAAATTTAAATAATGGAAAACAATTACTTTTTTAATATATTTTTAAGGCTGGACGTTCAAACACTTCGTTTCTTTGAAATAAAAAAATAAAAAAAATACATGAGATAACAATTATTTACATTTATCTTTGTCCAAGAAACAAAAAAAATATATGAATAAATTTACTTCGAATCCAATTAAACAGTGTATTTTTAATAATAACACTAAATATACAGAAAACACACCTGGTTCTTCTCACTGTAGATAACGATTTAGGTGATATTTTTTTTTTAATATATATAAAATGCCTGTTGCTTGATATAATGTATTCTTTGATAACAGTCATGTTTAACTATACTAGTATACTCCAGTAAGATATTCCTGTTCTTAATACTGTTTAAATACATGTCTATTCATAAACAGGATATCTCAGTTCTTTAATGGCTAAACTCTGGCAGGTGATTCTACACCAAGTTTATACCAATAAATTTCATATAATTTCTAATGGAAAATGCGTTGATTGCAATTTTGTATTATATTAATCTGGTCAAGTTATTTTCATTCATAGGAAGCAATTAATTATTTATCGATAGTTTAATTCAGATAATTAATTGCTCCATAGAAACCTAGATGAAATTTCCTTCAAATAAAAGTAGAATTTGTCTTTGTCAAAACCATTTAAAGTGGGCTTTTAAGCGGCCAAACAACGCTAAGTTTTCCGTTAAATCATGAATTATTCTCAATATTATTATCATTAATCTGGGCTAAAAATCAGAATCTCAAAATTAATAAAGATTTTGAATGAGCACTCCTTGAACACTACCGAGCATTTAAAAATAACACATGGTGATAACAATAATCTGGGAAATAAGAAACACTTTGCCAATCAAAATGAAAACAATCATTCAATGGAATTGTAACAGTTTTTTCCGACATTTAGAGCACCTAAAAATGACAATAAGCGAAGAGAACCCTATACTAGTTTGTCTCCAAGAAACACACTTACAAGAAACTCAAACAGTGAGATACAACGATTACGATATATACCGAAAAGCAAAATATCATCATGGGAAGACTTCCTATCTTCATTAAATCAAAGCATTTCAATGAAAGAGCTCTGGAATAAAGTGAAAAGCATTAAGGGAATCTCCAAAACAAAGAAATTGCCTGGTATAAAGAGGGGACAAGACATTATAACTGACCCTGACGAAATCGTTAACGAAAGTGATAAAACTCTACAACAGAGTGTAATTTAAAGGCGTTGCCAATGACCCTACAGGGTAGAGGCAACAAAATACCAAATAAATAAATAAATAATATCATTCAATAATTATAATACAGATAATTTTATAAAAACTTATTTAATTTTTTTTTATTAATAATATATTTATTGAAATTTATAATTGCATTAGTTAACAAATACAACAAGTAAATATGAAATTGTTTACATGGCATGTACAATATTTAGAGAAACTATTCATTGATAGTACTCTGATTATAGTTCTATATTAGAATGTCCTGAGGCCATCTTTTCAGACGCCTCGGAGGGTTATAAGGGATAGAATAGAAAGCAAGGTTAGAAACAAGAGAGTTCGGATGGTTCAGAAAATTACCATGGGAGGATAGGTATCTGGATTCAGCCAATTCGGAAACATAAGGAACATTAAGGTCGTTATGGATGATTTTATTAGTGACAAAGTAAGGAGCGTTGAGGATTTTACGAAGGATTTTGGATTGTGAGGATTGGATATGAGAGGAATTCGTTGGTTTAATGGAGCCCCAAAGCTCAATTCCGTAAGTACAAATAGGTCTTATTATAGTCAAGTATGTGAGTCTTTTGTAATTAATTGGAAGTTTAGAGCGTTTGTCTAGTAAGTGCTGAAGTCGGAAACGTCGAGCAGTTTCTTGTCTTTTTAGTCTGATATGAGGATTAGAAGCTAGACGTTTATCCAGGATGTGTACTAGGTATCATATTCGTTCAACAGGGATAAGTGGGAAATTGTTAAAGGATACTGTAGGACAGGAAATCAAAAGTTCACGGCGAAGGATAAAGGTAATTTGATGGGATTTATACTTAAAACTGCAATGTTTAATTTCATATTAATTTATTTGAGTGAATCTCAAGTCTATACTGAAATAAACCCCAAATAAATTAATATTAGATTAAAGCTTAAAGTTTTAAGAAACTTTTTATAAAAGTGAGGTATCTTTATTATATGAGAAGGAGTTAGTCGAGGGTGCGGTCAAATAAATAAAAAAATTAAAATATATTAATTATTTTAATTTTTGCCGACGTTTCGACCCACTTTGCAGGTCGTCTTCAGGGCGTAGGATGTGTATATATATATATATATATATATATATATATATATATATATATATACAGGATTATATTTACTGGTTTCCAACATATATAATTATGTTGAAATTAGCAGAAGTATGGGTACATATGGGGGAGTAAGGGTACATATCGGTTTTATCAGGGCAAAAGGTCATATGTAAATTTTTTTTTTTTTTAAGTGTGCTAAAGGTGACATTTCGTAGTCTACAAATAAGTATTCTGCTACTGTGGAATATAACAGGGGGAAATAAAATATAAATTATACTAATTGTGGGTAAATGGTTGACTATCTTTATTATAGTTATAAGATGATAAAAAGAAACATCGCGAATAATATATGATAGTATGACCTCTCAAAAATTCCGTTTAAATGGTTTTCAAAAAAAGATAAACTCTACTTGAAACTGTAAATGAAGGAATATTGTCTAGTTAACTATGGAGCAATTTTTGATTACCTGAATTAAATACTTTTTGTATAGTCGTAAGAGAGAACAAAAGTACTTTAAGAAAAGACAATATTGGACTCCTTTTACGTACGAAATGGACTCATACATCAAATGAATTTTTTTGTTGGAAATTATATTTAATCCTTAATGCTCCCTACTTTGCCACAAATAAAATCATCCATAATGACCTTAATGTACCGTATGTTTCCGATTTAGCTTAATCCAGATACCTGTCCTTTCATAATGAACTTCTGACCCCTCCGAGGCGTCTGAAAAGAAGATGGCCTCGGGACCTTCTAATATAGAAATATAATTGGAGTGCTACCAATGGGTTGTTTCTCTTCATGTTGTACATGTCATATTACTTGTTCATATTTACTTGTTGTATTTATTATTAATTACAGTTATAAATTTCGTTAATAATAAAAAAAAAATTATATTTAGAATCATCTACCAAAGTTTTTACTCAAATTATCTTACGACTCGAGTGGAAATCAAATGTGTATTTATGAGTTATTAGTATCTAATTAAATAAACAAATTATGAATATCTCCAGATCGAAAACGCTACAAGTCTGAGATTTTTCGTAAATATAATATTTGTAGATTACGACAAGATGAAGCCATTCACAAAGTTTTTAGGAGCATGTTAATAATTTTAAAAATAGGGCTACATTACCACGGACTATATTACCGCAGATAATATTAACAATTATTAGGACAATTAATGACTATTAGTAAATATTTAATAATTTACTTTCTAAGGCGTTGGAACGATACCCGGCCAACGTCGAACTACTGTTATGATTGATATTACTGTTATGATGATCATTAATAAAATTTCCTTTTATTAAATTTCACGTAAATAATTGAGGATAATTTAAATCCGATTTACTTAAAACCAATTACGAATAATACAAAACATGTTAATGATTTTTTTCTTTATTATTGTTTTCAGATCGGATTTGTTGAGAGTTAATGGATTTTCGGAACAGACCATCGGTTGGGGAGGTGAGGACGTCGCATTGTACAGGAAATACGTGAAGTCAACAGTGAAGGTTGTCAGGGCAACTGATCCTGGAATCTTCCATATCTGGCATCCTAAGGTAACATTTTGGAACAATATATATTTTTATGTTGCATATATATACAGGATTATATTTACTGGTTTCCAACATATATAATTATGTTGAAATTAGCAGAAGTATGGGTACATATGGGGGGTAAGGGTACATATCGATTTTATCAGGGCAAAAGGTCATATGTAAAAATTTTTCATTTTTATTTTATGTGTCCTAAAGGTGACATTTCGCAGTCTATAAATAAGTATTCTGCTACTGTGGAATATAACAGGGGGAAATAAAATATAAATTATACTAATTGTGGGTAAATGGTTGACTGTAGTGAATAATGAAGAAAAGAATAGTTGGGGTGATCAGTCAGATAAGAAGGAAAAAATAAATGATAATATTTATTTTTACATTTGCCGACGTTTCGACCTGATGTTCAGGCCTTCATCAGGGCTGTCTCCAAAAAGATTGATAGAGAATTGATGGTCACTTCGCCTGAACTTCAGGTCAAAACGTCGGCAAATGTCAAAATAAATATTAGCATTTATTTTTGCCTTCTTATTTGACTGATGACCCCAACTATTCTTCTCTTCATAAATTATACTAATTGATCATAAAGAAACACTATTTTTTTTTCATATGAACCTTTCAGTTGACTGAATGACTAACTCCAATTTCAACATTTTTGATCAAAGAAATTTTATATTATTATATTATATTTTATATTTCTAATTGGAAAATTTATATATGTACAGACAGTGAGTAGGTTGATTCCAGAGTAGGCGATTTCAATGTTGAAATATAGTGAATAAAGGTATACATTTTCCCACTAGAAATATCCCTAAAATTATTAATCAAAAATTTTGATTTCATAGTTAGTTATTCTGTCAACTGAAAGGCTCATATGACCTCTTACACTAACAGCAGCCATATTATTATTTATGAATATCAAATACTGAAGTATAAATAACGTTCGTATTATAAATGCATGATTCTAATCTCTCAAAGATAATCATGTTCTATTCAACAATATGAATAATTCAACATGCCCCATGTCCCATACCTAGGTCGTATTGTTGAAGCAAATTTTATTTATTTTTTTTTTTTAAACTTGTTTATTGAGAAATATTACAGTCTGTCTCGATCAAGGATACTTTTAATAGTTCAGAGAGCACATTCAAACCGTATTTACAGAAACATAAATAAATAGAGTAATAACAATATAACATATATAAATAAGAACAATATAAAATATCGTAATGAGAGAAAAAAATTTATGTAAATAAGTAAAACAAAAATAAAATAAAAAGTACTTTGAAAAGTAAAAAAAACATTTCGTTCATAGCTATGCCTATATATACTATTTCAAGTAAATTTAAAATAATCAGCTATTATTAGGTTTGCTATTTTTTTTTTTTCATCATTCTGGTGTATTTTATATTTTTCGTTCATTTCGTTTTTTTTTTTACATTTTCGAATAGCTTTGTATCCTCTAATCTCTACCAATTTTCTTTTAAATTTAACTTTTTTATTTTATTTATTTATTTATTTAGATATATAATATTCTGTCTCGTGGAAATATACAGAAAATATAAAATTAACAAAAGTAAAATAATAACTAAATAATAATAAAAAAAACCTATGTACAATAAAAAAATAAAATAACCTAAAGATAAGTAAATTAAAAACATAAAAAAACAGTCATACCTATATACAAAATTTAACTAAGCGCCTATTTTTGTACTCAGCTATTAAAGAAATATTACATTTAACTTTTTATAACTATAAACGCAATATATATCAGCGTACTCTTCGATCGGAACGTTTTAATAATTGTATTATTTAAAATTGACAGAGGATAAACGATAATAGACTGACGGTAAATTTAAACGATACTAACCAAAAATTCGAATATAATGTGCCGAACAAAAAATGTTAAAAAGGGTTCAGTAATTTGTAAGGAGGAACTGTTTCAAGGACAACGGTTGTCCGAGGAAGTGATCAGGCTGAGAACACGTTAAACCACCAGGTTTTCCCAATAATTAATTATTTATAATTAAAGGTCGCTCCATGGCTGATGAAACAGAATAAACAATTACTTGCTATAAGCCGAATTCGAATCCGAGACATTAAGTTTTTGAAGTTATTGCCTTACTGAGCTATCCCGAGTTAAAATCTAAAAATATAAACTATTACAAAATAATAGAAAATGTGCCACATACTCATACAAAATTTCATTGGTTTGTTAGGAAACTCTTGTAGGTATAGAGTTTCTAAACCATGGAATCTATTAATCAATTGAGTGCAGGTTCACTCGACTAATAGAATCGGGGAACAGCGGTTTGTGTTGGGTTTAGGCACGATCTGTTGAATTCCAGCGAAAGGTTAACGCTGTAATATGGCAAAATCCTTATATATCATCGACTATATGAAGAAACTATGCTTCAGGTCAGAGCGAATATAGTAACTACATTTGTACGCAGCCATATTTTAGAAAAATCCTACCCCTCCACCAAAATAAAAGCGAAAGGAAATTACGGAGTAATGGAGAAGAACGATGAAGAAGAAAGTTTTGATTGCTGGTGAATAAAGAAAAATAAGTTTGCGTTGGAGAGTGGCGTTGGTCAGTTAGAGGGGGAAAGAAATAATTGAAGGAGCTGCGGATGCTGTGGGGTTGATTGAGGGTTCCTATCAACACCATCTCCCACTTCCCACTTGCCACCTCCCACCTCCCCTGTTCTACCCTCCCATCTAACTCCAACATCGCCCTTGTATTAGTGGCTTTTAACATTGTCTATTTGAGTGTTGTCGTGTTTATTGATCTAATGCAAGTACATCATAACACTAAGGTCGTTTTTAAATCTTGATAATAAAAGATTTATTTCTTTTAAAAAAAATAAATGAATACAGTATATAACATCTAAAGACATATCTCATGGAATAACCGTCTAAGGAGATTCCACAAATGCACACGTTTTAGAGAAAGAAAAAAAAAATATATATGTGTGTGTGTGTGTGTGTGTGTGTGTGTGTGTGTGTGTGTGTGTGTGTGTATGTTTATTCTCCGCATAATTTTTGTATTTGATTTTGCCTCTGTTTTTAGAGTATTTTGTTTTAGTATATTTTGGTACTGTTCATTCATCTGATACTGTTATTTACTTTATTTAATCGTTTATTGTTATTTATTTTATTTAAACATCTATAATATTCTCCTTCTAATACATATTAAGTACCACTCATTTCAAATATCTTTAGCCAACACATATTGTAATAAGTTATATTTATAGTTATATACTAAATAACAATGTAATGCATATAATATGCTTTTGCATGGTGTGTGCACACTTCTAAAAATATACGCCTCTTCTGTAGGGTTACTACAGCAGAGAAAAAAAAAAAAAAAAAAAAAAAAAAAAAATATATATATATATATATATATATATATATATATATATATATATATATATATATATATATATATATATATATATATATATACAATAATATTTGAAAACATTATGTTGAGATGAAGCATAAGTTGTTAATAATTTTTTTAACTTATATTTTTAAATCTTAAAATTTGGAAAAAAATTAAACCAGCTAATTTAATTTAATTTAATCAGTTTAATAAACATAAACCAGCTTTTGAGAAAAAAATCCAATTAATTAATCATGGACCAAATATATTATAGATCCAAATTTATTTTACTAATTTTTTTATTATTAATTTTTATTAAACATTTCAGGGTAATTATCATCAATAATAATTACCCAGTGGCATTCTGAGTAAAAATTAAACATCCCAAAACGTAGCATATGATTACTACCACTTTGGAGTACTTGTGTTGAAGTGGGAACTGAGGACAAAAACAGTTATTATTGTTGTTTTGAACTATGTTACTAAGCCCTGTGTATCTCTCTTGTAATCCTATATATTATTTCTAAAAGGTGTTTTTTTTGTCGGTACGCCATTATTTCGTCAATTCTTCATTAAATCCAATTATTGACCACTCATTTTGAAGATATTCTTATCTTCTTAGGCGAAAAATAGTCCCTTCCCCCCGAAATTTCGGGGGGGAAAGTTATGGAGAAAAAGATTACTAATTTATTCACAAAACAAAAAAAAATCGGACAATTATTAAAAAATATACAGTCCATTAGTTTCGGTATACTTGATAATGTCTTCCTGTTTAAAGTTATTGCATTGAGGAGTAGAATAGCCTGCTAATTTTTTTTTCCTTTCTTTTATATTATCTTTATTATTCCTTAAAGACATTTGTTTGTTCTTACATTTTATTTATTTTTTTAAATAATTTAGAATATCCTGTGATCGGGGCGTTATTTTGTCTTTATTACTTTTATTATCTTTCCAGTCAGCGTTTAAAGATAGATCCTAGCAAAGCAATTTGTATAAATATTTTGGTCTATTATGTTTAATGGAATATTGTAATCGATCAAGGAAAAAATATTAATTCCTTCCTCACATAATACATAGGAACTACTTATTTCCGTATTGTTTTACTATTTCTTCACTAAACAATAGTTGTATACAATGTTGTAATATGCGATAATGTACTAACAAAACAAATATCCCTGACAGGCGTAGAAGAGATTGGTTTAATAAATTACATCCGTACATATATTATTACAGTAAGGCTCGAAAACGGTTTTGTACCAAATATAAGCTCCTGTCATGCTCAAATACCACGAATGGGGTACCGTTGGATTCAGAATTTCACGGGGGGTTAGCGAATCGTATTCTCCACTTTTGTTTTTCTTTCTAAAATAAATAAAGTCGATACAAAAATTTTGGTAGGCTTCAATACCTGAGCAAAAGGTAGGTCTGTAGATCGATACGGGATAAATTGAATCTTGAAGATTTTGATGCGTACAGCAAGACCCGGATAGTTCCCCCGGAACTATCGGATCCTGCGTTTTTAAGCCCAAAAACGTACTATTTTCGAGATAAAGTAAGGCATAGGGTTCGCATCCACACAACCTTACATCAATTGTAGTACTGTCATTGAATACAAGTCTCATTTCATCGACTTGAGGTCCCTATGATCGAGAGAGGAGGAGTTTATATTATTAATCGATGGTGTTTTTGATCGGCAAGCCATATCATCGTCAATTTTTCACCAAATCTCAAGATTGAGCCACCGATTTCGAAGGCTTCCTTCTTCTTCAGGCGGGAAAAATAGTCCAATTATCCCGAAAATTCAGGCAAAAAAGTTATAAAAGAAAACAAACTTTATTTGCGAATAACTAAAAGATTGCACACTTTTCCCTTATGCCCGTATTTATATAAAAGATTACTAAATCCCCTACGCAAGGAAAAAAAATCATCGAAATCGGACAATTTTTAGCAAAGATACAGCTTACTGAAATTTGTAAACATGTTGGTTCCAAACAAAAATGAAGATTTCAATTAATTTTTGTTTTCTTTGTCGATTATATTTATCGATAAAGTAACGTCTGATTTCTTTATCTTTTGATAGGTTCCATTATTTCATTTTCTTATTAATCGGGCATTTGATAACAATATGCTGTGCGAATTTTTCGCACGGGCCTACTAGTAATTGTTATTTGTCAAACGGTATGAGTGCGTTAATGTAAGGATTCGATAAGGAAGGTCCAGAGAGACTTTAAAAATAAAACCATCTTCAAGAAGTTGGGGCTTATTCTAGAAACTCTAGACGAAATCACCGAGCACAAATAGCCTCGACTAGATCGGCACGATAGTGATTATGGTAGAAATAAAGGGAGCTAGTAAGTCGGGATACATGGAAACTGGATAGGAGCAGACTTTCCATCTAAATCCTAGCAATGAGGTTCATCTCCATGATCCGGAAGGATCCGCTGGCAGATACCGGAGGCCCCTGGACTCATGGAGGACGATATCCCGCCCCGATCGGTAGGTAATGGATGCTCAACTGGATTACCTCAAAGCCCCAGGAGCTAAGCCTAATCTCATCATTATTTCAGCTACGGCTCTCCTCTGGGATTTGTCTTTATGTCGGCTCTTTTCATCTCTTATTTCCTAGCTGGGTCTCCCTCTCTCTCTCATCAACTTTAAAAGCTAAAAGAGCGGCTGCCATTAGTATCATTGGATTTATATTCCATTTCGTTATGTTTATTAATTTATTATTACATCTTTTTGTAGGAATAATATACGCTGCAGATTAAGAGAATAGTTTTAATAGTTTCGATGGTTTTATTATTTTTCATTCTAGGATAATAGAATAGAATAGAATAGAAAATAATTATATTATGGGACGAACTCCCGTCAGAATAACAAAAAAGTACAAAATTAAAATGTTGTATCTGGCAAAATAAAAACAAACATAAAAAGTAAATATAAAAATAAATAAGTAAAGAAAACATTGCTTATACATACTATATACAAAATCAAATAAATCTATATACAAATATAGATTTTACATTAATGACCTTCCCCTCCTGATCCATCACTCCCAATACCACATCTATGCTGACGATTTCCAAATATACCTGTCCTTTTCCCCATCTGACCTATTAGCCGCCACAAGAAAGCTTCAAGAAGATTTAAATAGAATATATGACTGGGAAGGAGCTAACAAGCTGAAGTTGAATGCGGAAAAGACCAAGGCAATCCTAATAGGCTCCAATCACCTCCTCAAAACTGTTCCTAACTTTCCAACCCTGTTCCTACATGATAATCCCAACAAATTTTATCCCACCATCAAAAACCTTGGAGTAATCTTCGATCAAACCCTTTCCTGGAAAAACCATGTGTCCAATATCTCCCGACGTACCTTTTCCACCCTAAAACACTTAAATAGCCTGCGACACCTTTTTCCTTTTGAAATCCATAGACTCCTGGTCACCTCCTTAATATTTCCCCACTTCGATTATTGCTGCACGGTATATGGAGGCGTCTCTGGGGATCTCGAGGCTAAACTAAAACGTTTGATAAATTGCTTTGTACGATTCATCTTCGGGATCCCAAGAGACGCCCCTGTTTCCTGTTTCTATGAAGAGTTGAAGTGGCTTTATCCTTCCTACCGCCGTAAGTATTTCCTGGCATCCTTCCTCTTCCAAGTAATTCACTTCCGCCGTCCTTCAAACATCGCCGAGCTCCTTCAATTTAAATCCTCTGTCCACTCCCGCAATACCCGTTCCCGGTTTTCAGACTTATATATAATGGCCCACCGAACCGCTGCTTTCGATAAATCTTTTATTATTGGATCCTCTTCCCTATGGAACTCCATCCCTCCCCACATCCGTCAATCCAAAACCCTTCCTACCTTTAAATCCCAACTGTTTAATCATTTCTTATCCATCCAGTTATCATAAAATTGTAAATAGTTACTACTGTAAATATGTATATAAATTATTAGATCGTTCTTTATTTTTTTTACTTCATGTTTATTTTAAATTTTTTACTTTTTATAACAGTAAAAATTAATTAACTGATGTAAATTAGAAAGTAACTTATAATTTCTCTTATTATTTTTTTTCATTTATCTTTTTTTTTTTTTTTTTTTTTTACTATTTAATTAAACTATATTCTTCTGTATGTATCTCTGAGGCTCCTTCTCGTCTCT